CTGAAGAAAGGTTGCGATAGAATATTTGCATATAATCAGTGAGTGATAATCTCACTATAAAAGAGAACATGGTAATTAGCGGTATGACCGCTACCTTCCATTGGCTAATCAAGCATATTCCTTATGCAAATTAACTGTCAGCCAGATGGCGGCCAGCAGCAGGCAGCTGGAAGCGAACATGAGGCTTGCTTGCTGCAGTGACTGCAGACTCTCAATGTTCTCCGCCTGCGCTGCTGGCCTCTGAGCTACAACTCTTAAAGAAACTATGTTGCAAATATAGAAACAAACAAAACCCAGAAAAAAACTCTCAACAGCCGGGATCTCAGAGCTAGAGTTATACATTGTTTCGATTATAGCAGCGGAAGCCTCAGAGCTAGAGCCAGAGCTAAGCTGGCCCAGAATAAAAAAAAAAGAAAAAGAAAAAAAGGAGTGGTTGGGAGCTTCAGTCAACAACCGCCAGCCTGAAAGCAGCCCTCAGCTCCTCACCCAGACTGGCCAGGCACCCCAGTGGGGACCCCCACCCTGATCCAGGACACCCTTCAGGGCAAACCAGCCAGCCCCCACCCGTGCACCAGGCCTCTATTCTATATAGTAAAAAGGTAATATGCCTCCCGGCACCGGGATCAGCGGAGCCTCAAGGCCTCCTGGCACCGGATCAGCATGACAGAGGGCAGCACCCAACCCCCCTGATGGGCCCTGCTCTGTGCGTGACAGGGGGCAGCGCCCCAACTCCCTGAACGGCCCTGCTCTGTGCGTGACAGGGGGTGGCGCTGCAACCTCCCCATCGACCCTGCCTTGAGTGTGATAGGGGGTGGTGCCCCAACTCCCCAATCAGCCCTACCCTGAGCATGACTGAGGGTGGCATCGAAACCTCCCAATCTGCCCTGCTCTGTGCATGACAGGGGGCGGCGCCCCAACTCCCCAATCAGCCCTGCTCTGAGCCCGACCAGGGGCTGCACCTAGGGATTGGGCCTGCCCTCTGCCACCCAGGAGCAGGCTTAAGCCAGCAGGTCGTTATCTCCCGAGGGGTCCCAGACTGCAAGAGGGCACAGGCCAGGCTGAGGGCCTCCCCCTTCCCCCCGAGTGCACAAATTTTTGTGCACCGGGCCTCTAGTCTATAATAATAAAAGCATAATGTGCTAATTAGACCAGAGGTCCTTCCAGATGTCCTTCCAGACGACCTTCTGGACAAAGCTGGGGCTGCAAGGAAAGCCCGGGTCCCGGGTGCCAGAGGGAAGCCAGTGCCGGCAGCCGGGGGAAGGAAGGCCCACTCTTGCACTGATTCCATGCGTCGGGCCTCTAGTCTCTAATAGGATGAAAAGCTTAGTCAGCCCCAGTGAAACCAGTAAGATTTTGCCAGCTTCCTCCTGCTTCCCATGAGGAGGGTGAGGCGTGAATTTCAGGAGAGACAAACCTTGAAGGCAAGTTTTGTTGAGATTTTTTATTAGAGCAGCAAGTAGGGTTAATGTATCTAGTTACTTACTGATTTTAAACATGAGCGTTGGTCTGAGTCAGGAGGAGGGGCGGAGGCTGGGGCCTGTAAGCGTGTGGCGGTAGGAGTGGTAATTCTGATTTTATCAATGAGGGTCCGTCTCAAAGAATGTTGGCTTGAGCGTCTCCTGGGAGAGCCTGAGGGTGTGAGCATCGGGGGGCGGTGTCAGCATCTTCCTACGGGCACATCTCCCTGTGCTTTGGTTCCCTGAGAACCGGGGAGGAACCGTGTCCCCTGAGGCTCTGACCTGGGAGGCCGGAGCGCCGGAGGGGCCATGGACTCCGGGAGCTGACCGGTCCGCTGCGGACAGTCAGGCTCACATTCCCCGAGTGCCCGCTGTGAACAGCGCCCGGAGGGCGAGCGGAGCCCAGACTCCTTGCCAGCGGGACAGTCATGATGCAGACCTGCTGAACAGCGCCCGGAGGGCGAGCGGAGCCCAGACGCCTTGCCGGCAGGACAGTCATGATGCAGACGGGCTCCCGACATGTACTGCTGCACGGGCGGAAGCTGCTGCGTGGAGACAGGCAGAGAGAGGGCCGTGTTAATCAGACAACCGTCTCCTCTATTTCAAATGCAACATCCATCTGTACATATAAAAGCATGTCCATTAGCTGTGCTAAACGCAGAGCTTATCTGCCTGTTACTAACTTACTAATTGGTAAAAGGCGTGCTGGCATATACTGTATATAAGGGTTTAACACTTGGAGTGCGGGTGAATTTCCCGCCAAAATATAAGATGGCTCTGTCTTTTGGTTTTGTTCCATCCACCAAAAGGGTGGATTACAAACAAATATTTGGTAATGCGCAGTTACAATCGGCCCGAGTTTACACGTTTCCCGCACTCCACCGCAAATCTATATGAACCGAGTTAAAGACGGCTCCCGCGGAGTACGCGCAATTCACGCGAGCCGACTTAACTCGTTTCCCGCACTCCAAGTAAATGTGAATGGATTGCCTCTCGGTGCGTCCTGCTTAGATACAGTGGTGGTCATCATTCTGAAATGCTGGGCTGAAGTGCTGGAGCAAGAAACACTCTTCAGGCTCCGACTTCTTCTTTTCCTTGTCTGAAGGCAGAGCATGGGCAGGCCCAGCTCAGAGTGATCTGTCACGTCCGAAGGCCGGGAGTGTGCAGGCCCAGCTCAGAGTGATCTGTTCACATGTGAGGCCGGGAGTGGGCAGGCCCAGCTCAGAGTGATCTGTTCACATGTGAGGCCGGGAGTGTGCAGGCCCAGCTCAGAGTGATCTGTTCACATGTGAGGCCGGGAGTGGGCAGGCCCAGCTCAGAGTGATCTGTTCACGTCCGAAGGCCGGGAGTGTGCAGGCCCAGCTCAGAGTGATCTGTTCACATGTGAGGCCGGGAGTGGGCAGGCCCAGCTAAGAGTGATCTGTTCACAAGTGAGGCCGGGAGTGTGCAGGCCCAGCTCAGAGTGATCTGTTCACGTCTGAGGCCGGGAGTGTGCAGGCCCAGCTAAGAGTGATCTGTTCACGTCTGAGGCCGGGTGTGTGCAGGCCCACCTAAGAGTGATCTGTTCACGTCTGAGGCCGGGAGTGTGCAGGCCCAGCTAAGAGTGATCTGTTCACGTCTGAGGCCGGGTGTGTGCAGGCCCACCTAAGAGTGATCTGTTCACGTCTGAGGCCGGGTGTGTGCAGGCCCAGCTAAGAGTGATCTGTTCACATGTGAGGCCGGGAGTGTGCAGGCCCACCTAAGAGTGATCTGTTCACATGTGAGGCCGGGAGTGTGCAGGCCCACCTAAGAGTGATCTGTTCACATGTGAGGCCGGGAGTGTGCAGGCCCACCTAAGAGTGATCTGTTCACATGTGAGGCCGGGTGTGTGCAGGCCCACCTAAGAGTGATCTGAGCTGAGTCCGAAGGCTGGGAGTGTGCAGGCCCAGCTCAGAGTGATCTGTTTACATCTGAGGCCAGGAGTGGGCAGGCCCAGCTCAGAGTGATCTGAGCTGAGTCCGACTGGGCTCCAGGTGTCACGTGCATGACTTGCTCCTCCCACAGCCCCGGTCCCTCTTTATGTGGGTGTATCTGCCCATTTTCTTCAAAAACCTGCCATGGATGTTAAAGCCACATGCACACCGTGGCTTTTAAGACTAACTGAGAAGATGGCCCTGGGTAACCCACCCGGCTTGTCATTTCCTTGAAGCTTGTGTAACCCACGTGTTTCCCTTTCTCTTCCAGGTCCATCTTTATGGGTTTCTTCCATTTTTAAAAATCCAAACGATGTGACCAAAGTGCACCCCCCTTTGCTGAACCTGACGTCGATCATTGTTCTTCCAGGAGAAAGGGAGTCGCAGAACACACCCCGCTGTCCGGGTTGGGCCGCGTCCCCGTTCACTGGAGCGGCGTCCGCTGCCGAGGAGACGAGGAGAGCCTCCAGCTGTGCGCCAGGGACGCCTGGCGGGGCGGGGCGTGTCCGGAGGCGGCCGCCGTCAGGTGCAGCGTGTCCCACGGTAAAGGGGTTCGTCCGTGTTTCCTTCCATGGTGTTGTCAGCCTGGTTCCAGGGGATGGCTGTGTCTCTGTTACACCACTTCCCGCGAGAGTGAGTCCAGGCATCACCCTGTTCGGTCCTGGTTAGTCTTCCCTGGGAGTGTGTCTCCTGTGCACGCCATTGGCCGCACGCTCAGCGTGTTTTCTATTTTCCCTGATTCGCTGACAGAAACGGTATGTGCTGTGCAGGACACACTTGCTTTGTTGGTGGGAAATCATGATGGATGCGTGGTAGAAAGTCAGCTGGAGACCAAAGGGAACCTGCAGCAGCCACAGCTGTGCTCACGGTGGGCGAGAGGGGGTCATGCACCCGTGTCCCCTGTGGGCTTTGCAGGATGACTTGCTCCCGTGGGTATGGCCTTCATTAAGCACCAGGAACTGGGCACGAGGCGACCAGCAGAATGGGCTCAGCCCACACAGGCCTGTGCTCGTAGGGACGGAAGTAGAGGAGGGAGCAGCTGCCGTCACAAAGGCTGATGTGTTTCCAGGGACCAAGGTGTGTTTTAATGGGCAACCCAGGGCCACCGCACCTCACAGCACCCCTTTTTCATTGTCCTCGGAGGTGCCCCGGGCAGCGGGCCTGTGTGAGTGCAGGTGTCAGGAGGAAGAGCCAGCTCCCACCCCAGAACGATGGAGGCCCAGGTTAGGGGCCTCCTGGTGAGCTGGCCGGAAGCCCGAGGCTGGGGCGGGGGCCAGGCGGGCGCGCTCTCCACCCTGCAGCCCTTTCACTGTCAGTGCACGGTCTGGTCTGCCCAGCGGCTGTCTGGTCTTTCCCTTCCCTTCCCATCCCCCACCTGTGGGGAGGCTGCCCTTGGCCGAGCCTGTGTGTGCACGGCTGCCTGGAGCACGGGCGGATGGGGCTCCACGGAGCACTGCGCTTTCCTCCAAGTTCTCTCTGCTCTCTATAAGCAATCCACTTGTTTAAACCCTGGTTGCAAAGATAGAGTGAAGGTCACTCATCACCATATATGAAACATAGGAAGCTGAGACAAATGTGAAGTGAGAATGAGGAAAAGATGCTCTTATGGTAAATCACACGGGAGTATGGAAGCGAATGGCTGGAACCAGGGAACACTGACTTCACGGCCGGGCCCTCCGCAGACTTTCCGGGCGTGTTTTCAGTCGGGAGGTGACATTTGTGCCTCGTCCTCTGGGACCTGCCGCCGTCCCAACGCGTGTGGAGGCCACTGTGCGGGCACGGGCCCGGGAGCAGCGCCTCCGTGAAAGCCTCTGGGGGTTTACTTGTCCGCAAGTCCAGCAGGAGCCGGCTGCCTCCCGGAAGTTCTCTCCCCGGTGATGCTGTGTGTTTGTGGGGAGGATGTGGGATATTGACTGCCTTTTGTCCTCCAGCTCTTCTTGTTTTACAGTTACTCACACAACCAGAAAAGCCACATGCTTTCAAATAAAACACGGCATTAACGATGCAAGGCGGTGTGCCGTAATGGTCCCGGGCTGTAGGCGATTTTAAATTTCCTCCGAGAATATTTTGTTTTTCTCTGTTCTCTAAGCTCACCACAGCGCAAAGGGGCGGGGAGGCAGGGGAGGATGCAATGACTTAAGAAACTTACACATTTTAAAATTATTTTTCTGTATTTCCCACGCTTTTTAGAGGAAAAATACACATGACTTATGCAAATTTGTTTCCTACCATAATTGGGCCATCACTTAATTATGGGAGCAATACACGATGCTGGGAACAGCTGTGCTCGCTCAGCCTGTCTTTATTCTTTTGCAAATAAGAGCCCGCGACCTGCATACGCGCACGCAGGGAACACGAGTGTGTGCCGAGCGCATGGGCCGAGCCTGCCCCGCGCTCGGCTGGTGCTGCAAACGCACACGTCCAGGTGCCGGGCGGAGAGCCTCCGGGCCGGCCAGTGTGTCTCCTGTGGCTCAAGGGTTAGCATTGGCAGGAGGTGCCGCTAAGCCTCCTAATAGGGACCCAGCTGTTCTGACCCTTTTACCACATCACAGCCTTCATCTAGGAACCCAGGCCGCCTGCTGTGTCCCACACGCCCTCCCTGCCCCCCACACCCCCCTCTCGGCCCTCAGCCAGGCTTCTCCGGAACAGATGCCCGCTGCCCCAGTGAACAGATGCCCGCTGCCCTGGTGAGCAAGCTCCGGGCTCCACGGACTTCCTGACGACTCTGGCAGGAAGTGCCTGGAGGTGAGGGCTGCCCAGGACCCCCGGGTGCCCTGCAGCACCTGGGCACCCCCTGGCACAAGCAGGCGCGTCCGGTCTGCCTGTGAAGCAGAGCTGAGGGAACGCCAGCTCCTGTCCTTCCTAGGCGTGTGCTGTCACGTGTGGATCCAGCCGTGCGCACCTGTGTTCCGGCCCCTGGGTGCTGGGTGCCCGGGTGCAGGGACGGAGAGGCGCTCTGCGCTGCACTCCACGTGGCGTGTGACCACCCCGTCACGCACTTAGGGGAAGGTGGCCCCGAGGGAGACGGGGGCAGGCAGTGGGCAGGTCCCAGGGAGGCTCCCAGGAGGACGTCCGGAGTGGAGGACTGCGGAGAGGGGGCCCCTGTGGCGGCCTGTGAGGCCGTCACTCCCACAGAAGGAGCCGCCAGCGTGCAGGCGGATGGGAGGAGGGCAGAGTGGCCGTCCTGTCCGAGGCCGGAGCGGAGGGAACTTGAGAGCGATGGGGCCAGCTCGGGACACGGGCTAACGAGGAATCGGGGGGAGGACCGTGGTTCCAGACACAGGATGGGACTCTGAACCGGCTCCTGCCGAGACACCCACCACCGTGGCATGAAGTGTCAGGCGCCCACTGGCCTTGGTTTCTGTGGATGTCCGTCTGTCTGCACTCAAACAGGTTGCTGCAGACTGAGTGCCCTTCGTGGTGGTTACAGGTCGGGAATGCCCAGCCGTCGGGAGAACAGTCTGTCCCCACGGCACTGCATGGACACCCGGCGTGCTCCCCGCAGGGGCGGGCGGGTCCCTTCTGGTTCCCGAGGCCAGGCCGCTGGGAAAGATGCGTGGGGACAGACGGCGTCCTCTTGGGAGTGGCTGTGTGAACGAATTCAGCGTGGAGTGTGCCCACGGGCTGAGCTGAGCGTGAGGTGGATGAGTGTGGTGCCACATCACGGTTATGCCTGAGTCAACACCACTTCACTGTGGGGACTGGGGAAGAACTGGGGAGCCCTCCTCCTCCGCTCCTGTCAGCAGGTGGTGTCACTGTCTCTGATTTCCCAGGCGCAGGCCCCGCCTCCCCCGTCCTGCGCCTCGCAGGTGGGAGCAGCGCGCACGAGGGCCGCGTGGAGCTCTACCACGCCGGCCAGTGGGGGACCGTCTGCGACGACCAGTGGGACGACGCCGACGCGGAAGTCGTCTGCAGGCAGCTGGGCCTCAGGTTGGTTCTCCTCGTCCTTGTTCCGTTTGGCTTTAACGTTTGAACCGGGTATTTCCTGCCCGTCGTCAGGCGCTGTGTGTTCAAACTGCGCGTCCTTGAGCGAGTGCGAAATGCCAGCTTTGCGCTTCCTGAAGCCTGCGGCTCCCCAGGGAGGACCTGTGCTCCGTGGTCCCTTCTGTCCTATCGGGGCTCCGAGGGTTTTATACCCAGGGAAGCTGAGCCTTGCACTGCTTCTCATAGTAGCTTTGCGTTGCTCCTGGCAGCCACAGAGACCTGTCAGTCACAGGGACCTGTCAGTCACAGAGACCTGTCAGCCACAGAGACCTGTCAGTCACTGAGACCTGTCAGTCACTGAGACCTGTCAGTCACACAGACCTGTCAGTCACAGAGATCTGTCAGTCACAGAGACCTGTCAGTCACAGAGACCTGTCAGCCACAGGGACCTGTCAGTCACAGAGACCTGTCAGCCACAGGGACCTGTCAGCCACAGAGACCTGTCAGCCACAGAGACCTGTCAGTCACAGACACCTGTCAGCCACAGAGACCTGTCAGTCACAGAGACCTGTCAGTCACAGGGACCTGTCAGCCACAGAGACCTGTCAGTCACTGAGACCTGTCAGTCACTGAGACCTGTCAGCCACAGAGACCTGTCAGTCACTGAGACCTGTCAGCCACAGGGACCTGTCAGCCACAGGGACCTGTCAGCCACAGACACCTGTCAGCCACAGAGATCTGTCAATCACAGAGACCTGTCAGCCACAGAGACCTGTCAGTCACAGAGACCTGTCAGCCACAGAGACCTGTCAGTCACAGAGACCTGTCAGTCACATGATGACCCCGCAGCATCCAGCTTCTCCCCGACGCCTGCGCTTTTGACCTCTGCTTCCTTATCTGTTGGGGTGTGTAGAACAAACAGTGTTGCTTGGTGTGCCAAGGAGATGGCTCCCATGAGCGGGCCGTGCAGGTGGGCTGTGGAGAGCGTGGCAGTCCGTGCTCCCTGCCCCACAGCTCGGTGGGGACTGTCCGGGACACGGTCTGCGCCCCAGGTCCGCCAGCCCCACTCCGGTGGTTCTGGATGTAGGCACAGCGAGCCCGAGGTGTCTCTGACCTTCTGTTAGGGGGCTTTTAATATTTGATATTTTCCCTGACCTTGGGGCTGTCACTGAGCCCCGTGGGGGCTTCTCTGTCCGCACGGCCGTCGGACCGTCCCTGACGGCGGTCGTCTTTGGAATGTGAACTGTCTCCACTCGTTTGTCTTTGGCAGTTGTTTTTGTGAATCACCCGCCTCCTTTGGAAAACTCTATGTTTATATTGAAGTATTTTAAAGTAAAATACAGACAATTTCCCTCTAAACACTCCCCTGTGCATCTCTTAGAATAAGGACATGGTGCTGCGTGGCCAGCTGACCCTATCACAAGTGACCATTCCTGACGGTGCCTGACACCGTGGCTGGTCAGCAGCCCCCTCGTCCTGCTGCGCGGTCCCTGAGGTCCCTCTGTCCCAGGCCAGAGCCCTCTGTGACAGTGACCGGGACTGTGGAAGGGACCAGCCTCGTGTGCTGCAGAGCGCCCACCTCCTGGGTCAGTGTTAATCCCCTGAATGGGAGCCTCTGGATGAAGGATCGTCCCCCAGGTGACATGCTCGCCTCCCGCCTCCCGCCAGGACGCAGGCGCAGCTCTGGGCCGCCTGGGAACGACACTTCCCCGCCGTCCCCGCCCCGCTGACCCGCTGGCCCGCTGGCCCGCTGACCCGGGGCCTCAGCGCCGGTTCCCAGTCCACGTGTGGACTGGTACACGCAGGACCAAGCCTGTGTCTGCAGGACTGACAGTCGAGGCGTGTGGCGGGCACTGTGAGGTCGTTGTGGTCACTGTCTTTGGATGGGTCAGCAGTGAGGCCAACTAGCTCTTCCTGAGAAAACTTACTAATCCTTACATGTTTAAGACTAGACTTAAAACATATATTTCCATTGATTTCAGAGAGGAAGGGAGAGGGAGAAATAGATAGAAACATCAATGATGAGAATCATTGAACGGCTGCCTCCTGCATGCCCCACACTGGGGATCCAGGGATCGAGCCTGCAGCCCGGACATGTGCGCTGCCTGGGAGTCGCACCATGACCCTCTGGTTCATAGGTAGACGCTCAGTCACTGAGCCACACGGGCCGGGCTTCACACTAGATTTTGAAACTGTTCTGCTTGGGTGTCAGTTTCAGGACCAGTTTTCCTCAGACTGTAGGTGGTGGAGTCCACATAGCGCGGGGCTGGGTGTGGGCTGCGGTGGGCCCGCCTGGAGACGGGTGGTCGCAGGATACCGCTCAGCGCAGCGTCCCCCTCTGTGACGCATCTCACGTGGGGAGTCCAGTGACTAACGCGTTAGCGCACGTTGCAAGCACGCGACACACTTTGGCAATGGAGGGCAGTCTGATTAGGGACTGTTATCATTGGAGGATGTTATTAAACATTCAAAGTAAACTGACGTTTTGGTGGTGAGTTTATCAGCCACCATTCCTTTATCCAGAATTTCTGTTTAGTTAGGTGTCTATGAAGTTGCCATTTTAAAACACTCTCGTTAATGTGTGTATTCACTGTGTATCGATCACGTGGTCAGTGGTGTGCTAATTGGTTTTCATGTGAGTTACTAAGAAACCTATGTCTTGGTCAAAAGTGGTAAGGATTTCGAGGGTATAGTAAGTAATAGCATATTTAGCATTCCCAGTTACAGTATGGATTAATCTAAATTTAAGCTATAAGGCATTTTTAAAAATCACTAATATATTTCTGTGGAGAAAAAGGCAGGCCTTTTTTTTGCTCAGAAAAATGAATAGAAAATTTAAATGGCACACTGTGAATATTAATTATATTTACGGTTATAGAAGTGATTCTAAAAGGGCAAAGATTTGTTTCACTCACATCAACAGCTCTTATACAAAGACCATGTTGCCAACAGTCTGCACATAGAAAGAATATACAGGTAGAACCACAAGGACAACTCTCTTCATGCTGAGCACGTGTGTGGCTTCTTTCTCACGTGTTGGCACGTGCTTACAGCTTAAGCATTAGCTCATTGCTGTCTTCTGTGTGAGGACTCGTGTTTGGGAGATGATTCAAAGGGAAAATATCTCCAAATATACACGGCAGCAAAGGTCGCCCTCGAGCCTGGCGGCACCCACACAGCCTGCGAGAGCTTCGGGCGCCCGCCACGCTCTGCGCTGAGCTGCCGTTTACAATTCTCTCACAAACTTGCATTGAAACAGCGTCTGCAACTGCCCTTCTCTAGAATGTGTTCGCTCACCTAAAGGCGCAGTGCTTTCTGTAGGTGAGTTGTTTTTAATGGCACTCGGTGGTAAGCAGACAGCAGATGGTTGCTTGTCCACATTTATGGTTTGTTCCTGAGCAAATTGCGTCTCAGCCTTGGGGATCTGTTGCTTCCCCGAGGGAGACGGCGTCATGCCTGCCCGCGGAGGGGGCTGCGGTTTCTCCGCGATGCTGCCTTTGTGGACCCTGCTCTTCCCATGGTGTCTGTAGCGTTTGCAGGCTGGCCAGCTTCCCGAATACCAGAGGAATTACTGTGCTCAAGATCCCGAGGTTTGATTAACCCCGAGCTTGGAGAGCAAGGAGGGAGAGGAAGGGAGGCAGCCAGATGTTAGCAAATGGAACCTGGGAAAGCATCTGTACACGGAAGCTCCAGGGGGAACCTTCACTAGAGCTCCTTTCCTGCAGGAACATGAAAGCCTTTCTGTGCCTTTCAGAACCCTGAAAAGCACAGCTCAGGACTGTGAGGTCCTATTTTATTGTGTGGATATGCTGTAATTGGCATAGGAATTTAAGTTTCAAACAGTTATTTTTTTTTCTGCTGTAAAGTTATCGTACAAAACCACATTATTGAGTGGTCAGAATAAAAATTCTTCTCCTACAAATGGCTTTTTAAAAGTTTTTTCTTTGCTCTTTCATTTTACTGTTCTTTCGTTTTAAAAAATATTTTATAAAATTTACCCGAAAGAGGGCCTGGTGTAGGGCATTATTGAGAAGAAGAGAGGTGCGGGAGTTAGGGCTCTGAGACGACCCTCAGGCCAGGCGTCTTCTGCTATGAGAGCCAGGAGCCTGAGGTCAGAGGCTCCCAGCTTAGAATTCCTTCCTTTCACGTTACACTGTTTACAAAACAGCCATGTGTTAATAAGAAGAAATACAAATATGGGGCTGAACGAAGTAGGGGAGTGAAGAAAGAAAGGTTAATTAATGGGGAGGAAATGAGTATGTTTTAAATATATTTTATTGATTTTTTACAGAGAGAAAGGGAGAGGGATAAAGAATCAGAAACATCGATCAGCTGCCTCCTGCACACCCCCTACTGGGGATGTGCTCACAACCCAGGTACATGCCCTTGACCAGAATCGAACCCGGGACCCTTGAGTCCGCAGGCTGATGCTCTATCCACTGAGCCAAACAGGCCAGGGCAAAATGAGTACGTTTTAGGGAGACAGTGTTTGAGGGGCCATGGGCCCTCACTGAAAAGGCCCAGGAGGCTGGGAGCCAGCAGAGCGCCTCAGACTGCCTGGGGGCCAGGCCGGCTTTCCACCCAGCGGTGGGTAACCCTGGAAACGGTTTAACGCCTGGGCCTGGGGCTCCTCATCTGTAAGTTGGGGAGAGTGCCTCCATGGGGTTACAGGGAGGATTGGATGAGTTAAGGCCTGGGAAGCTGGGAGCCTGGTGCCCAGCCAGCAGTGAGCATTCGGTGCCTGTCAGCCCTCATTCTTGGAGACGGAGGGGGTCGCTTTCCAGGGAGAAATCTAGGCTACTGAGCATTTAACATGAGTTCTTTCATCCATAGGTTACAAGTGTCACAAACTGATATTTGTAGTTAAAGGACCCGTTTTTCGTAATCTAACAAGTAACTACCTTGCACAGGAGAAGGGCCTGTTCAAAGTGGTTGCTGGGCCTGAAGACTGAGTTAGTCCAATGGAGCTATTTAGTCTTTTTTTCCCCCCCATGAAAAACCAACAC